GGTACAGACAAGAGCCTCTGTCTGGTTCCCCATTCTCCACAAAAATCTATCTTTCCCATTGATCTGCTGGTGGATATCAAACCTGGGGGTATTTGCATTTCAAGGAATGCAAGAGTGTAGGTTGAAGGAATACATTTCCAGTTGTGTTATTCAACATCAGTTCATCTGTGGGGGAGGTATTTGCTGGAGCATGGCAGGTTGAGGTCCAAGGACTTTAGGCTATAATTTGCTATGCATGTGAATATGGGTTAGTGGCCACTCAGATTCTAAAAGATATAGACAATTCCTTTTGGACCATTGTGAGACCATTAGTCCCATAGTGACCACTCTACTCTGTTTTCGCCCAGTATTATACTTATTATTCTACATCATAAGCAAAAAGCTCCCAGTATGGATCATGATGAAAATAATTTAATTAGCAGCTTGGTGGAAACTCAGAGATTCCAAATCCCACCCCCTAAGAACCTATGCTAATTTCTAGGAGACAATTCCCAATTGGGTAAACTATCTATGACCTTGGAGAATGCTTTCCTGGGGCTGTGTTTTAAGGGAGGCTCATGTTCTGATCATGGGGAATAAAGCTATAGACCCAGATCAACTAGTAACCACAACTAAACCATCACACAAACAAAGGAATGGAACAAGACAAGCCCTGAAAATGTTGAGTTGAGAAGACATGACTCTGGGCAGGAGATTCTACCCTGTCATGAAGTACAAAACATACCTTAAAGTACTACAGTAGGGAGGACTTACAAATGCACTAGTATAGTTTTAATCTATGTGCAATTGACTGTTTTACCCAAGAGTATACAGTATGAGGGAGGTCAGCTGGCCTTATATTGGAAAATAACACATTTTGGAGGCAATTACAACATGTATCTCTGATAGCCAAATTTTAATCAACCCAGTGTTCATTTGTGTACCAAATGTCAGAAAGGGATCTTATTGGTGAAAAAATATTAATCTATTGACTTGTATGAGGACTTAGTGTTGGGATCTCATTGGTAAAATTCAAGGGTTTCAAGATATTTTGGAGACACCCCTACATTCCCTGTGCCCCCCACATCTCACATGGCAGGGGTATAGAACCCAGTGACGTTGGTAGTCTCCTTATGTACACATAACCCCTGATATCCCCAAATGGTCCTTCCTCTAACCATCAGGAGTATTTCTGGACATCTGACTAACTTTACATCCCAGAATACTATGTCTGCAACGTGGTGTTTGGCTCAAGAGAACATTTCATGCAAAGTAAGGCCAGAACACTTAAAAGGACCAAGAACCAGACCCTCTGAGCTTACTGAATATTTTGTGCTAATTATTTTTGCCTGCTTGCTTAGTGTTGATCTAATAAATGACTGACACTGGATTAACATTATGACATGCTCTGTTTAGAGTACAGTAATGAGGTTGTAGATAAAAAGCCACTCTCATCTATCTTAGTCATTTTTTGGTAGCTTCTACTCTCTACCAAACAAACAAACAAACAAACAAAAACAAACAAACAAAAAACCGAAGAGTTGGACGTTACCATTTTTTCCTACTCAAGATGTAGTCTGAGACCATTTTTTAGAAGATAATCATATTATGTGGTTTGTAAATACTTTTCTAAATATAGGGATCTGTGGGAACATTTCTCTAGGGACATGGAGGACAGGCAAGGGATGGGGTCAGTAAAAGCTTCCAGTCTTTAGACGGCATTAAACAGAAACAGAGCACTGAAGGGAGTCAGGTCAACAGGTTTTTCCTTGGTTCTGCCACCAAACAGTTCTTTGCAGTTGGCTTTTATTCTTGGACTCCTTTACCCTCAGCTGTGTAAAATAAGGAAGATAAATAGGAAAAGCTCAAAGGTTCCCTCTGGTTCTCAAGTTCTAGGGCCTTAGTTTCTAGGAGTCCCAAGGGGTACAGGCAAACAGATCTCTCCACCTTCTTGGTAAGTCACCAGGCAGGTAATTCTATCCCAACAGATGAACCCCCTTGCCTGATGTTCAGGCAACTGGAGCTGCACTTTGGTGACTGAAATTAATTGAATTGCTTTCTTTCTGACAGCTGTTGTCAGTTCATGAACGAGAATACCGATCATTCTTCCCCGACCGGATGGGGAGGTAAGAAGGAAAAGAAGCGAGAGAGCATTTCACCAGTGGTACAGAACTGAGGACAGGAATGGGGGAAGAGGTGTGTTGAGGGGCGTTCGGGACATGTGTGAGCATAAGTGATGGTTAGTCAAAGTCTGGACATCCAAGATTCCTAGGGTATCTGGAGGGTGAGAGGGGGAAATTTGGAATGGAGGGACAAAAAAGGCACAGGTGATTACTAAGCAGATTTGTTTAGGGGTCACCTCTCCCCCAACAGGCCCTGTGCCATTACAGAAGTCACTGATGAGCCCTGAATTTAGATTTGAGAGCAGAGAACAGTATCCAGCAGGGGAGAAGGCACTGCTGTCTTGGAATTCCCAACCTTCCAGCTCTCTGCCACCTTTCCTCCAGAAGTTGATGCATCTTCCTTCTCTCTCCTCTGCTTTGTGAGCTGACTCAATGGGAAGGCCCAGGTTGGGCCCACCTACTTAACAGATGTGTGCGTGCAGAGCCCTTTTTGGTTGAAATTCACTTCCCCTGTCTGCAGTTCAGAAGGAGACTCCTAGTCTCATCTGGGCCCCCAAAAGAAGCTGACATGGCATCAGTCTTCCAGCATTTGTGGTAAGATGGCAACATTCCAAATACACTTCACAAATCTTTCTTGGGGAGCACGGGCACATGTTGCCTCGGGGGCCTATCATTGGAGAACCTATCAGCCCAGCAGCATCTGTACTGCTTTCTCAGTGATCATCCAGCCCTGTCTCTTTTGCAAAGAATAACTTCCAGCAGCTTTCTAAAATGAGGGGAGTGAGAGGGAAATTAGAACTTTCGCATACCTGAGCTCACTTTTATGGTCCCTTCTCATACTTTATTGATACTTGGCAGGTATAGGTTTCTGGGTTGAAAATGATTTCTCATTTTAACTTTGAAGGTGATGCTCCATGATCTGCTAAGCTTGTAATAGTAGCATGGAGAAGTCCAAAGACATTCTGACTCCTTACCCTTTGCTTTTTGTCCCTGGAGCATTTAGGGATATTTCATCAAAATGCAATGTTTTGGCATTTGACAAAGATACAACTTGGTGTTGCTGTCCTTGCCTTAATTATGCTAAGGATTCATTTTTTCTCATTTCTCAGAAATCTTACCATATTTTATTGATAACTTCTCCATTTTCTCTGTTCTTTCTTTCTTTAATGTAATTTTAGCTGAATGTTGTATGCCCTAATTTGATGATCTAAACTGCTTATATTTTCTCTTCCATGTTTCCAACTTTGTTTTGTTGTTATTCTGTGTGATGTTGTAAAGTGTGTGTTTTCAATCACTTTGATTATGTTATATTTGCATTCCCCACAAAATGCTCTGTTTCGAGTTTATTCCTTACTTTCCTATTTCAGTCTATGCACATTTTCTTTTTAGTTGTTTCATTTCAGCCAAAAGATTCTCCAGAAGGATAAAGACACAAACCAAACAGATAAAACCCGCAAGACTACAGGAGTGTCTTGACACTTGTGAAATACACATGATACCCTTCTACTTCAATGTCCCTTTTGTGGCCACATGAGTTGAGATACTCTTGTGGCTTTCATGGCCCACACTGAAGATTCTATCCCACCTCTAAAATTGTGTTTCCACCAGAAGTTTCAGGAAAGAACTGAGTTGTCACCAAATCCATAAATGGAAGGGGTATGCGATCACTGTAGCCAAATGGATGAGCAAAGCCCAAACTAGCAGCTCCTTTAAAACATTGATTCAGAGTATGGCAAATCAGCATTCCAGAGTGGAGAAACCCTTCTGCAGAGTTTCAGAATTATAAGCCAGAATGCATCACTTTTACCAACTCCAGAGCATCAGAATAGCCACTGAAATTATCATGGTTATTGTGAATTTTTTCTTACTGGTAACACAAGCTCAAAGTTTAATTGCAGCCATATCCATATACCTATATTCTGTTGAGATTCATTTTCACAAGGAAATATATATTTTTTCTGTTTTTTGTTCTTTAGGGTGTTGAGAGCTGGAATTCATAACTGCAGATCTAAGAATGCTAAAGCCTTTTTCAGGCACAGGCAGTTCCCTGTTCGAGAGATAGATTCCAAATTGGCATTTATCTCCAGTTCCAGAGTTGGAAAGTGGGTAGCAGCATATAAGTGCTTCCCTGCCAGGAAAAAAGGGTTCCCAGGGTCAAGGAGACCAGGAGAAAGCAAAGACAGAGGTTGGCAGGTTGTCTGAGAATTATGGAGTTTCAAATATGCACCTTTCTGCCTCTACAGACACAAAAGTAAAAGAAAAAGTGTTATAAAGGCCCTATTCTTTCTGAATATGAGGGGTATTTCTGTATTGTGAGTCTGTCTACTGGGAAATCTGATTTCAGCCAGTAAATCATGTAGAATGTTGCTTGACAACTCTTTCTCATCCATTCTTTACCATACTCCAGAGAAGCAAACTTACTAATTCCATGAAGACCGAATATTTCCATTAGGATAATAATACAGATCTCATAACTGTGTTATCACACTGCTGGGAATTTATTCCACAGAAATAATTCTAGAAAAGAAAATATAGTTTTACCTGTTCTTTGCAGCAAAATTATTTATAATTGTAGAACTACGGGAGTGAGCATTTGTGTCACACAAGGGGAATGGTATGTAAACTTTGCTATTTCCATAATGGGTCATTAACAGTAATAACTATTAAAACCATGTAACAGTAAGAAAAGAGATTTGCAGTTAAGTTTTAGTGAGAAAAGAACACAAAATATCACCTATATTACGATTGCAAAAATTAAAATGTATTTATACGGACTACAATGGGAGATAAAAAATAAAAATAAAGACTATTTACCAACAGTTGCTGGTGGAAGTTTGGTCAGTCTCTCTTTGTTGTTATTTGTCAAATAATGGTCACCATGGAGTCTCATTCTGGAACAGCTGCTCTGCAGAGAAGCAATTGGGAATCCCTGGTCTCTGATAATACTTCTAGGTATGTTTCATGGTATCTAGTTAGGTCTAGGATGCTAAGACATTCCATGAAAACAATACAAAGCAAATCAACAAAGAAAATATTTTTGACCAAACGAATGTTAAATCCATTTACTCTCAAAAATGTTATTGTTGGACTCCTTAGAGACTTCAATACGCTAATATAGAACATGAATTCCCAGAAGGCAAATAAATATGCAGTCTTTTCAAGACACCTCAGGTACACAGATCCCATCCTTTCCCTCAACCCCACCTCCCTCTCCCTCTCACCCC